GTTGCATGGTTAGTCGACTTTTGACCACGGCAGGTGCGGAGCCTGAACGTGGTTCCTCTGCGCGCACAAGATCAATTTTCGTAACTTGGTGGCGACCGCTTCTGTTGCTGTCAGTACGCGCTGGCCCAGAAACTTAGGGTAGCTCGATGGGACCTTGTAGATCACGTGAAACACTTCGCTGGGGTCCACACGATTTTCGGAATCAACAACATGAGCAAGAACGGCGCTGTTTATGCCCCTAGTTCGGCTTTTACCAGCCATGTTGGGGGGTGCTCTCGTAGTCTCTTGGATAGGCACCGACTCCTACGGCCAATATAACCCGCTCCACAGGAGCAAGTAAAGGAGTAGATGCACAATGATGTGGTCTGAGTTGGCAAACTATGCTTACATCCTCCGCGTAAAATGGGGTAACTAGAGAATTGTATTTGAAACCTTGCTGCTAGGATGGTTCGTGAGGCAACTAGATAAAGGTGTCTTATTAGGAGTTCATTCGCAGCGTCCCCCCCCTCATATTCCCACATTCCGCCTGTGTTTTACGACGAACTTTGATCGATCTCTCTAGTCCCTGATGCTTTTACTTCTACGCCGTTCATTGCATTGGCCTGACGAGAATTTATCGAAAGCAGACACATTGTTGTTTAATACCGACCCAACTGCGAAAAACTCGGGACTTCGCTGGGATTCGAATCCACGGCAGCAAGGGGAAGGCTTTAGTACGGCCTACGCTCTAGGTGCATGAACCACGAGCCCTAACTCAGGTGGCTAGAGCGTTGAACGTACCAAAGCCTTCCCCTTGTTGTCGGGATTTCAAATGCCACCGAGGCGCCGTGTAGTTCACGGTTGGATCCGTACGAATTATTAAAAATCTTCCAAAACATCTATATATAGTTGTTTGATAGCTTGTCTGTGGTAGGCTGCTTCAGTTTTCGCCAACGCAGCCTCCTAGACTTGTCGCCTTTTATCCCCTCAACCCCTTTGTCAGTTGAGTGCCTGCGTCACGCGCGAATCACTCATGCCGACATCTGGAAATCTTGGGAAATTTTTTCTGACTACCGCACGTGGACGTTGTCAGGCATGAATAGGGTATGCCCCCTCCTAAAGAGTGGTCTATTTTGCTTGGAATAGTCTTCCTCTGGTACTCCTCCGTTGGTGGGTTCCAAATTTCATCTCGTAAAAAAAACAGGTGATGGGCAGGCTAACGTTACACATGGTTGTCGACGATGAGGATACTGCAGCATTCCGTCATTCATGAGAGCGATTATTCTACATTGTGCATCCTCCCCCTTAATTCGACTGTCCTAACTCAGTAAAGCGGGTTCCCACCGAAAACGACGAGACTAACGGTGTGTCTGGTCAGTCTACATGTCTCCTCCCTACTGAGTATTTGACTGACACCGCAAGTTGTCAGTGTGAGCGATTTAACTTGCGGATAGACTGCACTGCACGACCGTGGGCTTTTGGCGGCACGAGTCACGTCCCTCTTGCGAACGGCCTGAGCACCAACCCTTCCCAGATGAGGTAGGCAGCATTCCCAGAAATACGGTTGGTTAGACGACTGTTGAATTTCCGACACGACTGTGATTCCGTGAGGAAACTACCCAATGCTGTTTGACTCACCTGCGAGACTGAAGGTCCCGCCTCAGGGGACCTGGAGGGTAGGCGTTGATGACTCGCGCATACAGCGGACTATGGTGGGGACTACCTATACAGCATCCGCCTTCGCAGTCTCATCTTGAGTCTGTCAACAGGACTGGCCGCAGTGGCAATAAGCCTCCATCTATGCCTGACAGGAAACGGCTGGTTCCTCATGTTCGCAAGCAGAACTAGGGGGTGCACCAGACGCTAGGGAAGACCGCCGGCGCCTCCCCACTTGTCCGCATTGTGGACCTACAAAAACCGAGGTTGGAGGGTTCGACCCTCTCAGTAGGACCAACACTACTCGGGTCGCCTCGTTACTCTAGCCTCAGGAGGCAAAGCACCGTCAAGGTTAGACTTAGGGATACAGTAAAAGCCTGACCTCCGAAGCGTGCTACCAAGCACGCAGGTCCCAAACTCAACCTGAGAATAACCATAGTCGAAACAACAATCTAACTAGCGTTTACGTAACAATTGGGCGGCACAACTAGCCGTTTGAAGACAGCCAATGAGCGAAAATCGGTCACTAACTCGACCGCACCAAAGCGTCTAGTCTCCTCTTTTCTATGGGGCATCGGATGGATTTGACAGTCAGGCCTACGATGACCTGAAGTCCGCTACGGGTATTTTATTCACGAGATCCCAGATGGATAAAAACCAGTGTTGAACGGAAGGAAGAAGGATCGAGTAAAATGCAAATCCTTATAACAAAAGGATGATAAATGTTAATGTCACTTTGCCGATTACTGAGAAAAGGATGATTATGGACCAATAAACAAGCACAAGAGGTCTGAACCATAAGAAGCACGCAGAGAGAAAGTGGGGAGTGATGAGAAAGAAGAAAACGGCTCAAGTTCTTTCAATCTGTGCACTCTACAGCGTAACAACAGGAGACGGATGAAGGTAACCAGATGATGAGACATCAAACGTGCGCGGAGGTAGAAAAATAGGCAACAAACTTTGGTCTAGATTCGCGCGGTACCAAGACGAGCCAAATCTTCTGGGTGGAGGAAACAACAGGAGTCACCATAGCGACAGGGACGGGGGTTGCGGCAGTTATTCTTGGGGTGCATGTAATCACAGTGACTGGGGTCTGGACAGAGGGGCCACTCGGGACAGCGACGAAAGATTCTTGCACCCAACCTCCGGTTTCGGTTACGGTTGTTACCGCTGTTGCTGGTGATAACAGTGGATGTGAAGACCGAGGGGACGACGGCGGTGACAACGTTTGAGTTAGTGTTACTGGCAGTAGTACCGTTATTTGCAGCACGTGTATTTCGTCTCCAAGGACGAGGACGGTCTCGCTGACCAGGGGAACGAATTGAGGGAGTGTTGGTGGTAGGGGGCTCGAAGTCGTCATCAGATCTGGGGGAAAAGAAAAGCTTAACTGCACCCATAAAAGAGCTAAAAATTGCGAGGCTTCTAAACAACGACGAACTTGACCAGTCTAATGGTTTTGCTCTTTGGAAAAATTCACTTCAGGTCAGAAAAAGAGCATTCAGTAGCTTAGAATAAGTGCAAGGATTGGAAACTCAACTCCTTTTACGGATCATCAGACCTACTGGTCGGTCTCCAAAACAAGGCTAACTGTTTGCTCTAGCAGTTCTAGTGTTAGTTATTATTAACGCCGGTTTGGGTATCTTTACGGTACGCTAGTCCGCCGAAAACGATGTGGACCACTGTCTTTAAGGCATGCCGCAGTTTATAGCGGTGGAGACTTTAGTGGTATTCACACTACTATCCCTTCTCACGCCTACCGCATTCTCATGCCAAGACAAAGTTGGGAATTGCAGATGAGCGTGTGTAGTGTAAGTGAGCGAATCTGCGCCTACGCGTGCAAGGGGCGTGCCCGTGGTTATACATACTCAGACCTCATACTGAAGTACGTTTACATAAGACACATCAAGGAGGGGCCATCGCGGTATGAACCTCGAGGCAGAGGACTGAGTTAGTTCGTCAACAGGCAGTCTCCCTAGATGCAACTTTTGGCGCGTTGTGGTGGTTTAAGACGCTTACGACTTGCAATAGTGCGGATGCGAGCTGGATCTGCCCACTATCCCTTCCTTGTCGCTGAAAAGTCCACGTCACACTGACTGTAGGTGGGATTTGGTGCGGTATAAGCCACAGTCTAAACTGTGCCATACTCTTGTGCAGAAACTGCCTGGGACTAACGCAACAAGGCAGTCGAACGCGTCCCGCAAGTCTGTGACCCAGATGTAGGTAGGTATAGCATAACAGTGCGGCCAATTCTGGGGGCTGTGAACCCCAGTACAGTACATATCGGCTTGAAAAAGGCGACTCACTCTTTGGATAATCAGGTTTTGCAGTCGAAATCCAAATGGAATGTGAGTCGTAAAGACAATGAATGAAACAATTAACTGCAACCAGATGCAGCTTAAAATAAGGGTTCTTAGACCGTTGGATACGTTTCCTTCCAAATTTCACGATCCGCTCCACGCTTACTCCTAGTTCGTACTTTCAATTTCGAAGAACCGTAGCTCATGGCCTATGTATTTCTAATGACACATCCTACGTGGGTTGACCCTCGATGATGCAAGAAATTACGTGGCCCGTCATTAAGTGAAGGGTAGATACTGACTTATGGGCAGTCACTACCGCTTTTATACTTAGAGTAGAAGAAAGGCGACTTACATGCCCTCGTTATCAAGCACGAACTGGTCATAACTCATTAGCTGCGTGCGGATGAAATACTCAGCCATCGACTCGTCCTCCAGTGGGAAGTATGAATCATCCGAATACACGTCGTCGTCGTCAGAGTAAACATCGTCTTCGTAATCCTCGTACTCGCTGTCATAAAGCTAAAAGTCATCGAGGTCATATTATTGTACAAAGAGAAGACTACAATAAGAACAAGGCATCAATGGCGTAGGAATTTGTCAACTGTCACCAAAAGGACATACAGTTTATTTCACAGTACGAACAAGCAAACAAAGAAAACCGCCCCGTGAGTCTGTTAACTACAGACATCTTTTTCTAGAATTGCACGATCGAGGAGCCTGTCATCGCTATTATTCATAAATCTAGAGTCCGATGAGGGATCACGAACGGTCGAAATGGCATTCACCAATGCAAAACAAGTAGAGCCAGAAGAGGTAAAGACGAAGGCGAAAGAGGACTGCCACTGATTCCTACTGGGTGCCGTGCCCGACAAGTTTCCAACCAACAGTAAAGGGGATTGTGACAATGATATTCGTCAAATCTAGTTGCAAAAACGAGACCCCGAAACCTTAACATGCAAAGGGGAACAAACCCAACTATCGGTCAGAGTAATGCACGATCTTCTAAATCTTCAATTGGGTATGCTGGAACTACACCCTTTATCTTACAACTTTATGACATGTCTTTCCACCAAAAAACCAACCCGCCGAAACTGGGTTGGGAAATTTTTAATTGATACCGGATTGCGAGACCTACTACATACTGACAAGAGACTCCGGTCGATGAGCCTCTAGATATTTTATCGACTTTCTAAAAAGAATGTATACGTAGTGCGGGACCAAGCCTGTTCTGTTTTGTTGTGTCTTCATATGCCATTAACCGAACCAAGGCACCCGTGCGGAGAGTAGATACCGACAGAAGTCATCCTTCGTAGAAAACAGCCATGTGAGTACGCTCTGTCGGTGGGTTGAAACCATGAAATATACTAACGAGCAAGGATGTCGTGCTCATCAACCACCGGAAGCTGTCCAAGGTTATCGCATACCAAACAACACCCCAAGGACGGGCGAGAATCAATAGAATGAGGGGATGGGGGAAAAGGAGGGAGATAAGAACCTAATGATCGAGAATCTGGTTAAATGAGGAAAGTGGCACGATTATGACCATCACCACAGGCATTAACATAATCAAAAGAGGACGGCTTTCCTTGAACAAAACCGTTTTAGGGGATGAAAAACAGCTTTTGCTTGAAATATCGGACAACACAATTATAGTCTAGCGAAAGTCCCTCCATTACCAGGTATCCTGACTGCGAACATAGTCTACTGGTCTATGCCTGCTTCGGTGATAGGAACGACACCGATTTTGGGGCAATGTTCGAGTGTTACTTCAAAGGTTGGGCTCGGAGGAATGGTCAAGCAACTTAGTCAATATGAGTGCTGCCTATCTAGGAAACAAAACAATTTCAAACAAAATCGGATTTTAAAGCACGTACAATTAGGTGTAAGACAAGTAAATTCCAAAAAACACGAATATTCCGCCCAATCCCGAGCAAAAGTGATAGCGGAGAGCAAGTGTCATGCAAATACAGGACCTCAAGATCAACCCGGACGACTAAAGGACTGCTTAGTAAGCTTCCGTCTGAGTTACATACTAAACGATAAGACACCGAATATGTCAGCTACCGGTGACAAAAATGACTTTGCAGTGGTAAAAATCTGGTGGTATAATTGGGTGAATGTGTTGGTGAAGGCATTATGCACGTGATACAATAGATTACAGAGCTTCGACACGACTGAATATTTCATAATCCAACTTGCTGCATCACTAAGTTAGTCGATGAAGGTTACGTTCCTAAGAACCGCTACGAAAGTGTCGGACAGGTAAATTCGGCCTGCTCAGAAACTTCAAATGGCGACTATCATCTCAGTGGTCGTGGTAATTCCACTCGTAGAGCATGGGTAATATGGAGAGACGGCCTCATGTATTTACCGTATACTGGTCGTCAACGCCCGATGTAGAAGTCGCCTGTCGTGGCGCCGGTGGAGGGGACGGCTCTCGAGGAGCCGCAAGTGACGGGTGTTTAGAGGCCAGCTCAAGCAAGTTGTTGAGGAGCAAACATGAACGAATACGATGGGGCACGAAACGCTTGCGACAAACAGGACAAGTGTCGCGCTGCGTCATTTTCGCAATGCATGTTGCGCAGAAAATGTGTTGGCAAGGCAGCATCCTTGGTTGGACAAACCTAAAAATGTAAAACAAGAGAAACCCGATACCTCATGAGAGGTCAACTGACAAAATCAACAAAGTACAATCAAAATAACGTGATAATTAAAGCAGGCGGCCTGAAGCACAAGTGTTAAGAGAACAGACGTCCCATCAGGCAATTCTCAATAGTTACGCCTCTTGTTGGCGCAGCCTGCCGAAGTAGACATTCCAGACATCGAACTAGCAGATGGTGGCCACGATCTAACCGCTCAGATTTTGCCGCTGGTGTACGGACGAGTACCTGAATAGTTTACGGGCACAAAGGACTGCCCACTTGAGAGGGGCAGTATTCAGTATGTGCAATCGAAACCGAAGTCATATGCGCCCCACAATCTATAAAATTCATCAAGTCTCCTTATCAGACCGTGGGGCAGCTCGTGTCAATGGGGCCATTGGAATCGGTCATAGGAAGGGACTGCTAGGTAGGTTTAGTTATGACTAGTCTAGGCCTGCAACTTATGGGCTTGTGTGCCACTACTGATCTGCTTGGCTGACTGGGTACAGCTTGCACCAATCACAAGGGACGGCTAGACGGGCCTCTCCTGCAAAAATTACTGGCAGGTACCAGCCAATCTCCAAATTTGCTGCAAAATAACTGTAGGAGATAGTCCTGGGTGATTTGGTGCTTCGATATGTCGAAACAGCATCGGGAACAGCTGTTGCTAGCTAGCTAGCAGTAAGCGATTGCAATATCGCATTGAGGGAAGTGAGTATGCAGACTGCTATAGCTGAAACGGTGTCAAACACAATAAGAGTACTCATTTTCGCTCATTATGGTTCTAGACATGGTAACTTCCCCAATACCTTTCGCGACAAATGCTGCACTCGAGTAAATTCTTGATTCCATCCAGTATGCACGTTGTCTCAGAAGCTGTTGGGCACTGCGATGCATCTGCAGTCTGGGAGGAACTAGCAGTAGCAGGTGTTTGACTAGTTTGCTGCTGCGGTCCTCCACAGTCCGCATTAGATTTGTAGTAAGATCGGGTGCGCGCCATCTTTGTGGTGTGTTATACGAAGCAGACTAGCGTAAAAATTAGCCAATAAAAATGAGCGATCGAGGTGGAAGTAGGACAATGGTCTCAAAGTCTCACCGGCAGAATCGTTCTGCTAGCTTGAGTCTATTAAACTAAAATTTTAGATGACTGCCTGGACAGAAGTCCGGTATTCGGCTTGCGTTGTCTGGTTCCGGTGTTTCGAGCTGCAGTTCAGGCCCAATGACCCCCTATAAATATTTAAACTAAATTGACTTTCAGGCGTGAAAGGAAGTTGCACTTCCAGAAGTAATACGCGTTCCTCCTGCAGAGGACTGCAGGCATTTGGTAAGTTATTGTTTACATCACGACATCCCCTTTTTAATTGCATAATTTAGAAATGCGCATCCTCTTAGTTCGACATTCAGAATTTTCCACCCAAACTTGTTTGTAATAATAACGGTTTTATTTTTAAGCGCCTATAGATACGATCAAAAGTATGTTAACACTGAGCCACTCGTTAAAATGCAGACAATGTAGGAAGTAGTGGTTTGCGTGAACAGCCAGATGTACAGTAATGTTGTATCCAGTTGGTCAACGTTTGGAATTTTCCACGTCCTCTTCGCAAGTGCCTCCGATTTTGGCCCCCGTTGACATTCTCCCTTTTCCTTTTCTGTAACCCTCTTTTGACCATGATCGGCGTTATTTTACTCAATCAGTTTTTGTATTCTGTCCTTGAGTTGGGATATTCGATTTGCTCGAACAGTCACAAGGCATTTCTTTGTCTAGGGTATCCATTGTTGAGGTTTGTACGCTTTACGTTATCAACTGTGTCATAGCACTAGTACCGTATATACATCGACGAATGTTTTGACTTGTAGGTGCCACTCGTCTAGGAAAGAATGCTACAGTACTCAACATCGTACCATACATTGGAGGAAATTCGTTTCATCAAATGTCGACGCGTCCGATTCATTCTTCATCGGACGGTAAGGAATAGTCTCTCGGACTACACATACCACGTGCTTTCGAAGGACAAGGAGAGCGGGAGAAAGAAGTCCAGTCCAGCTCTTGTAAGAACGTTTCTATTGGTAGTCATAGTTTCAGTAAAACAGTTAAGACCTTAAGAATAGTCGAAATAGAAGAGAGTCGAGTTAAACTTGATGCTGGACTCTAACAGGCTATTGCTGATACCGAGACCAGGACTGAGATTCCTAAAGCAGAGGTAGAGACCGACGAAGATATGTCCGATGACGGCCGTCAACCCGTGCATTCAGTCGCACATGTTTCGAGATATTTGAAGCAGTGAACACCGAATTAAATTTCTCTAGAAGAGGATGATCATTGCCAACGTGGGAATGCTGATAAATCCCAAAGCAAGTGTTAGGAGCCTGCGAGATGCCAGTTTTGAACTGCCCAATGCTAAGTTGTCCTTGTCGGACTGAAACTGTGTTCACTTCTGGAAATCTATACGCTAGTTTGAAGTGTACGTAGAGAGCAACGTTGAAGATGCTGGACAGAGGCTTCTCTACATGATTCATTATTGCAGAGGTGATGCGAAATCGGCAATAGAAGATTGCATCATGCTACCTTCTCCGTCGGCTTATTCAAGAGCACGGGAAATATTAAGTAGCTTATTAGGTCAGCCACATGTAAAGGGGCCGCTGTCTTCTGGATGGTGTCTTCAAGCAGGCACACCAAGTTAACCAGAATGTCAATGCACTTTCGGATTTGTGCGTAAAAATGAACATTTGTGAAACAGCACTCACACAAATGAACTACGCGTCCGACCTACAGTCGCTGAAAGTCTTACAGCGAGTAGTGCGTTGTCTACCGCTTTTAATGCAAAGCCAGTGGGCTGAAGTGGCTGACAAAATATACATGAATGGTGGAGATCCAGATTTTGCAGACCTCACGGAATTCGTAAATACTCGAGCTACGATAACGAGAAGTCCTTTCTGACAAATATTTCGAGATGGGGATCTCAAGCGCTCTCCGCACCCCTTTATCACCACAGCCTAACCTAAAATACGGGAGAACCCTAATAAGTTTGTCATTTCGAGCGTCGAACCAGATCAACGGCCATGTTACATATGTTCTGAAGCCCATGAAGCGGCAAATTGCCCACGTTTTCTTTCGATGGGTGATGCAGATTGATGGAATTGTCTGCAGCAACACAAAGCCCCTTTTGTTTGTCTTGGTAATACGCATTTTGTCAAGGTGTGCTGCTCCGGAGAAATATGCGCTCAGTCCGGGTGCTCAAAACGACATCATATGCTTTTCCACGCAATGTCATTGAAACATAATCAACAAACATTGCATGATGAAGGCTTTGTGCCCTGACTGGAATCAATAATGCGCCATCACGACAAGGAGCTATTCCTGTCAGGTTTGCAAGTCTAAAAGGAAACGCCGAAACTTACTCATATTTGGGCATTGGCTCGGTTATCATTCTGTTTAAACGAGAGATTCTCGTCGGAAATGGAGTGTTAACAACGCCAACGACATTGACAATAAACTTCTTAAGTTGTACAATGAAATGCAACTCGAAAGTCAGACGTCTAAGGATGCTGCCCATGAATGGAACCAAGTCACTTGAGATTTAAAGGGCTTTAGTTCTTGGACACTTGCCACTCCGTGCAGATTCGACAATTAAAAGTATAGCCTCTTCACGACCACACCTGAATGTCCGACGAGCTCACTGATTGCGAGATTGGCATAATAATTGGGAATGATGCCGCGAAAGCTAATTGGGTACTTGACTTACATCTGGGCGGTAAAAGGAAACCGTTCGCCGTGAAAACACTGCTGGGCTGGATGCTGCTTGGACCTTCCCATGGCAGGCAAAAAAATGTCATCTGCCACAGCATTGTAAATCAACAAGAGGATGTGACGCACAACATTAAGAAGCTATAAAACTCAGAGTTATCGGACAATTCAACAAAGACTGCCAGTCACTCGTTGGGGGACAAACGGGCACTGGCTATTGTGCGATCCTCCGTTACACTCATGAAAGGGTTTTACTAACTGCCACTCCTTTGACGAAACGGTGCGCCGAATTTACCGGACAGTTTCCACTTGGGACGTAACCAACTAATTTTTCTCAAGAGTAAGTTGGGTCGAGAGCACAAATTACTCCAAAAATATGAGTAAAAATTTCCTTCGTACATGGAGAAGGGATACATTGAGCAAGTTGACAGCAAAAAGCGTTTTCAGTTACGAGACACTGGTACTTACCACACTATTCCGCTGTCAATTCCCGAAAACCAGAAAAATGCGTATTGCATTTGACTGTGCTTCCAAGTGTCCGGGCGTGTCTCCGATTGACAATCGAAGCCGAGAACCTGATGTAAACTCTAAGCTAGTAAGTGTGCTGTTGGGTTTGCTACTTGAAGGTATTGCATTGGCAAGAGATATAGGGGAAATAATCCTGCAAATGAAAGTAGTCCGGGTTGATCGACCTGCTCTGAAATTTTTGTGGTGAGAAAGTGATGAGCTTGAAGGAGAGCCATTGAAGTCTCAGTGAACATCTCGCCCATTCGGATTGACTTCTTCGCCCTTTTGTGCCACCTTTGCTTTACAAAAACTGTCCAAGATTTCGGTTCATCCTACTCCTCATCAACTTGCAGAACGATTCACCAGAGTATATAAGTTGATGATTGTCTGATTATCGTTATGAGATGTGTATTCTGCCAAACGTTTTGTGGACAGTTTTGCAAACTCCTCTTTCAGGGCGGCTTTCGTATGCGGAACTGGGCGTCAAATGACCGACGTGTACTCCCGGTCGTTAATGCGACTGAACGTTCTTCTGGTATGCGAGATATTGCCATCAACACCCTACCTACTGAACGAACTGTGGGGCTGCAGTGGGATACGCATTCCGATATTCTGGTGATAAATTTCAATATGCCCATAAAACCTTTCACCTCTAGGGGTATTCTGTATTGTTTGTCCTCAGTTTATGACCGTCCGGCTGGTACCAGGGGAGTGTCTACTGCAATCCTTTCACAAAAACGAACTGAATTGGAATGAACAACTATCTGGCATCGAGAACTCTCGTTGGGAAAACTGAATCTCTAATTTACTGAGCCGGAAGACTTGTCAGCCAGCTCGATGTCTAAAGCCCAAAAATATCAGCGATCTCATGCGAGTCGAACTGCACTGTGGGACAGCCCAGGTTCTAGGTGCAATCCGTCAAAAATTTTGGATTCTAAAATGAACCGCTTCTGTCAAACGTGTCATCGGTAGATGTTTACTTTACGGATGCAAAGTTCGACAGTTTCAGGGACAGATGATGTCCCTGCTTTTCTTTAACAGAACATAAGTCGGTTGGTATCCTTTCAAATTCGTTGGGATGGACGATTTTAGTCCAGGGATGGTCAAACGTAAACGATCTTCTGGGAAACGCTATAGTTTTGCGTTAGGCTGCTCACAGACGAGATCCGTTAATATTGAGATAACCGCCAGCCTGACTGCGAATTCTTTTGTCCAGTGTTTGATGAGATTCATGAGTAGACGCGGACGTCCCACTGACATCTACAGTGACAACGGAACCAATTTTATTGGAGCAGTAGCAGAAGTTCGAAAGGACTTACACAATTAGAACCAAAGGAGAGTGCTAGAACCACTGCTAACTCTAGAGATATAATGGCATCTTAACCCACCCGCTGTCAGCCATCGGGGAGGCATCTAGGAATGCATGATGAGATCTCTACAGCAGACTCTTTTCGCTCTGTCATAGCCCTCTCGCGAGGCAGGGCTGGGAGTTGTCACGGGGGGGGGCGCTGGTGCCGGCGGGGCCACTTTCAAAAATATCCAGGCAAAAAATTTACTTTCCAAAGGGTATTGCGGAGCAGGGGAGGATTTTTTCACAAAATTAGGATAAGGGCCTATGGATGTTGTGTGGTGGGACTCCCGATGTGGGTAAAAGTTCTACATTCTACTGGCCGGAACGAAATCCCCATAAAGATCGGCGGTGGGCGAAGCGGAGTCGGCTTAGAGCGTGCGCATCGATATGGCCTCGA